GCTGCAGTTCCAAGCTGTGTGTGGGAACTGCTGCCCCTTTGTCTTTGCCAGCGATTGGTCATTGCAGTCACTAGGGCCTTCAGAAAGTACTTCTTAGATTCCCCCTTTGTCAATGAAGGGAGGCCCAGAAATCTTCATTTTTCAGAAAGAAACATTCTAGGTGACTCATGGTCAGATGGGACTGAGCCCCTGGTCCACACCATGCCCCTCCCCTCTATTGGGTGGGATAGACTTACCTTCTGTGACCACGAAGGGGGTCAGCTTTCTGACCCACCCAGGATGTCTGGGTAAAGACCCCAGAGAGTAGGGCCATAAGAGCACAGGTCCACATACCTACTCTGTCGCTTCCTGACCCTGACACTTCAGCTCTTTAAAACCTTGACAGCCTCACCTGTGAGGAAGGTGTGACCACCTGCAGGGAGGCTGTGGGGATTCCTAAAGCCTGCAGAGGGCTGGTATGCAGTTGGTGCTCACAAGTGTGTTAGGGCAGTGTGGATGTTGGCTAGTGCCAGGGAGTTGTTATAGAGGGTTTCCAGATGCCTCCCACAGCCACTGTGAACTGGGCCAGAAGACAGTGGAGGGAGGGTTCCATTCGGTGGTAGATGGATTCTCAACCATCCAAGTAAATGTTCTTGGAGAGTTTGAGGATGTGACCAGAAGAGCCTCAGATTCTATGGACACTTGGACATAGAGAGGTGTCTCGTTCTCAAGCAAGAAACATCTGATTTCTTAGCTCAAAGAGGGTGAGGCATTATTTACTTGGATGTGATGGCATGGAACATTCTAGTATGAAAAGAAATACCAGAGGCTTAAAAAAAAACAATTTATAATCCTTTCATGATTTGGCAGGTAATTATGATAATCCCTGGGATTTTCACAGATTTAAAGCTTTTTCAACCACATTATTTTTGGAGATCATCTTCCCCGATACTCCAGCTGGAAGAGATTTCTCATTCCCCTAAACCTCCCAAGGCATCATCTTCCAAGTCTCAACTTAAATGTCACCTTCTGGAAGACACTGTCCTCCGTCTTCTAGGCTAGGGCTACTAAATAGATGTCATGTGCTAGGCCAAGCCCCTGACTGATTGGTCACGGCTGCCTGGGGATCCTCTAAAGGAATATTGTGATGGATTAGTGCTGTCTGCCAAAGGGGCAGTTAGTAGGAATGTAGGGAACCCTGGGATAGTTAACCAGTCCCCTGTGAGCATTTAGGCAAGTTCTAGCCATTGGCAGTTGAATTTGTACTTTGAAGAAGACAGGTGACCGTGCAGCAGGGATTTGCTAAGCCAAAGACGGAGACTTCCAAACATTGATAGATATTGAGCAGCCTTGGTACTCAAACTCCTTGCATATCTCTACCTTCTTCTCTCTAGCCAGAGGATGAAATCCAAAGGGCGACTCATAGCCTGGCACCTTGTCACCTGATCGGTTGTGTACCTTCCTGGCACAGCTGAGGGCCACATCTTCCTCTAGCCTCCAGTTCCCCTCGGGCCTTTCTGAGAACCGGGTCTCCATGCCTCACCCTTTGGCTCATCCTGGGTGCTGGGAGCTGTCAGCCATGTTCACTGTCTCTCCACCTGGCTTTGGCTTTTGATTTGTCACTGTCATTGGTGTTGATAAATGGCACTTCCTTCCTAAATATTTTCAGGGTAATTGCCATGGAACAAAACCACTAAGAGCAGAAAGAGACATGAACCTCAAACTGGCTCTGAGCATTGACGATCCAGAACATGTGTCTGGTGGGGATGTAGAGAGGGGTCTGTCCCTGGAGGCTGTGTGGCACACGAAGCCCATTAGATGGTGACTCCTGAGTGTCTCTTGGAGAGCCCTTCTGTGACACCCCTCTTCCCTCAAGTGGCTCTATCGCGATTTGTCTGACCAAATGTAACAGGTTGTGAATTGTGTGGTTCACTTGAGAACCCGGCCTGGCAGATGGTTAGCAACTCCGCGATGTTCTTGCTTTGGGACAGTGAGTTTCCCCACAGCCACCCAGCTCCCTAGTGTGGTACATCCTGGTTGGGAGGCACGATCTCTGGGGAGGGCCCTTTTCCAGGTGATCTCTAGAGACCTGCTTCTTGGTCTCCTCTACCATGTCTCCGACATCAGTACCCGTTGTGGAAAACTGCTCCTGTGCTCAGCATTCACCCTGCCACACCTGTGAAATGCACTCTTGTTTCCTCTGCATGGTGGCCCAGTGAGGCCAGAGTGGAGTTTGATCCCCATTTTGTAGATGATGAGCTTCAGGCTTATGGGGGCTCCCTGTCTTGCACCAAGCACATTGTCAGTAGTCAAATGGGCCCAGTCCTGTCTCACACCAAAGCTTGACCTTACCCCCCTCTCAACTTCCTGCCAGCCTCTGGTACCTGCCTTTGCACCTACAGTTTCCTCTGCTACCTGGTGACTTCCTGGACCTTAGCGTGAGTATGGAATTCGCATCCCGTAGGGCTGAGTGACATTAGGGAGACACTGAGAGCAACAGGTGGGATTGAAGAGAGGAGTTAGGATTTCATCCTTAGGGTGGGGAAAACATTGAAGGTATTGAAAAAAAGGTGACAATATGAGATGTGACTTTGGAAGAACACTGCTACTTGGGGCAGAGTGGATAGGAACAACCTATTCTCTCTGTAACCCATTTCCTGCATTTCTCTCTGGCCATTGCAAATAAGATGATCACAGGAGACCCGTGTGTGCCCTGCAAGCTAGATGAAAATTTCAGGTGGCAGTGGTTTTTCAGCCTACTGGGAAGTACTTGTGATCTCCGAGGCGTCTCTTAGTCTTGAATTTGTTTCTAGTAGTGCTAGAGTTTGGGGATGATTATTTGAGAAACAGGGAGCTTCATGGTTTATGTAAGAGGAAGGCTGTTTATTCCAGTGACTGACTACAGGAACACGCAGTAGAGAAGCTCAGTTTTGGAGGTGGGCTTGATGCCACAGCTTCATGATGAAATTATTTCATCAAGTTATGTCTTCTCCGGTGCATTGGGTCCCTCCCTCATTGCCCAGTGAAATGGGTGTTTGAATGTGGTCCAGTCCATCTTCTGGCTGCAAAAGGGAACCTGGGTTTTGAAAGCTCATGACAAACAGCACCTGAACCTGGAACATTCGATGTTTCGTGCATTGATGAGCAGCTGCGGCAGCACTCTGTTCCCCGCCAAACAATGCAGAGGCAAGACTACAAAACTGTCTTTGCTTTGGGAATGACAGTGACATTTATTTAAACTGGAACTTTGTGGGGCCCATTAACAGGTGTTTGTGTGCTCCTGGTGGCTGTGTAGTAAGTGGATCATAGCCCCGAGGAAGCTCATGGAGGGTTTGTGTGATTCTTATGTGAGGATTCACTCAGATGTTATTAGAGATGCAGTATTTGCTTGTTAAAGGCTGAAAGAGGATCGGATCGACGTAAGCTTTCCTTACACAAAAGGAGTAAGGCAACTGGGAAATACTAATTTTTGGTCTTTACAAAGAAAAAAGCTGGTGAAATGGCTCAGTGACGTTGTTTCCCGTGGCTAATCGCACGCTTCTTGCACTATCTCTGGGCAATTTTCACTTAGTGTTGCACATAGTTTGGGGGGACACCTTGGAACAAGGGAGTGCGTTGGAGTTGACATAAGTGTCCCAGGGACAGGAGTTGGATACATTTTGTGCTGATGGCGCAATGGCTCTTTTGTTTCAGGTGAGGAACGTCTGACTCTCTTAAGGAGTTTAATTCTTTAGAGTTTCATTGGGATAAACAAGAGAGAGTGCTCATGGCTGAGAAACCAAAGGAAGGAAAAGTAGAGAATGGGAGGGAAACGTCCTGAGGCAGACCCCGGTGCCCCTCTTTCCCTCTGTGCCTTTTGCCCTTAGTGTGAGGGAGAAGCAGAAGGGAGGCCTCCCTCTGTTGCTCCAGGGGAGACCTGACTTAGTGGCCCTGACTGTCCCCCACAGAGCTGCTCCCTTCCTCATTCCCACAGTGGGTTTGTATCTCCCATAACCTACCCCAAGAGGCCCAGCAACCCTGTGGGTGAGCACTCCTCAGTCGGTGCTCAGGTCTCTGTCCAGGGAGCTGAGCTCTTGGGCAGGGCAGGGGCCGGGTTGAGTGAGGTCTGCTCCACCTCCCGTTCCACAACTTCCCTGGAAGGTGCTTGTGGGAGTCTTCTTGCTGGGTTCTGTGACAGCACAGTAGAATGACACCTCACGTTTCTCTACAATGTTTAAAGAAACTGTAGTTGAGTGGCTGTACATTGATATAGCCTACCATATAGCCACCTCCATTTTCATTTATTTGGTGTCAGCCCACATAAATTGGATTGGCTGATTCAGTTTGGAGAAGTTCCCCTGCTAACCGCGGGCCTGAAGGGTGCATCTGGGCACCATGCAATGGCAGGATCATAGCCCACAGCCAGGGCTCTGGTCTGCCCTTTGCCAACGGCATGACCTTGAGCAAGCAGCTTAGACTCCTGATATGCAACTTTTCTTTCTGTGATGTGGGAGTAGCAGTCTCTGCCTCCCAGAGCACCTGTGGTGCAGCCAGGAGGCACATGTGGCGGGGTTATCCTGACATGCAATTGGCAGCGACTGGGATATAGTTGTGCACTGGCTGTTGTGTCCGTCACCATAGTTGGCACCACCCTAGAGAAGACTCTGGCTCTGCGTTCCTAGTTTTCAGAACGGTTGCAGTCACTCTTATTGTACTGTTAGTAGGGACATTCTGGACACACATGGCACAGCTTACAGAGAAAACACCTTTCTAGAAAAATCGAGCCTGTGTTCCAAGGTCTAGATATGGTTAGATACAGCCAGATTTTGACCATGTACTGTGGCCTGGCACCTCCAAAGTGTTAAAATCAAGCAAATCAAACCGTATTCTACTTTTGATTGGATTTGCATATCTCATAGGTAAGCTGCGCCTCTAGCCCCAGCCCTGCTGAACCACAGCAGGAATAAGGACATAGGAGCGGGGACAGGCCATGGGGGAAGGTATGCCTCTGGGTGCTAAGGTGTTGTGCTTGTCTTTTTCAGGTGGCAGAGATGCATGGAGAGCTGATCGAGTTCAACGAGCGCCTGCACAGGGCCTTGGTGGCCAAGGAAGCTCTGGTGTCCCAGATGAGGCAGGAGCTCATCGACCTCCGGGGCCCGGTGAGTGCTCCCCGCTGGCGGGTCTAGCCTTGCCATCTGCCCTCCCTCCCCGTCTACTGGCCTGCATGGCCCACAGCCCCATTGATTTGTTTGGTGTGTGCATCACTGGTGGTGGCAAGGCTGTGGGAGAGCACAGACACTCCCAGAAGGCAGCTCCTTGTCCCCACTGTCCAGAGTGAACTACAGGACCCTGGGACCTCGCTCTTTCACGGGTGGGAAGAGGTGGAATACATGCAGTGGTTCAAATTCTGCAGCCATGTGCCCTGTTCCTCTAACAGTCTGTGTTCTGACATTGGCACAGAGTCTTCCCCTCCAGGTTTTTATACTTTAGTACACTTATTTCCACGAGTAGCCTGGGTTTTGTGTTCTTTGCTTGACTCATGTGATAGTATGTGTCATATCTGTTTGTCACTTGTTTTTAATTCAGTATTGTGGTTTGAGGTATACATCCCATGTCCATCTAGCATGGGGATTTTTAAGCACAGCAGTGCTGATGCTTTGAATTGTGTGGTTCTCCATCATGGGGGCTGTCCCTTACACTGGGGGTCCCTGGTTTCCACTCCCCAGAAGGCAGTAGCCTCACCTCCCCCTGTTGTGACAACCACATATGGCTTCTGACATTGCTTAGTGTCCCCCTAGGGGCACAGGCACCTCTGGTTGAGAAGCCCTGATCTAGTTCATTCACTTTGTGTTGAATGAAACACTGAAATATTTTTTATCCCGTCATAAGCTCATAGGTTGTTCCCTGCATTTTACTACTGAGACCCAATATTGTGAGCGGTCCAACACTGGTCCTTTGGTGCCCGCATGTAGCAGCTTCTTCATTTTAAAATTTATTTGTTGTGTAAAATGGTTGGAGCCCACGGGGAGGTGAATAACTAGAATGCACTATTATATGTCCAATGTCAAGTGCAGCGGTTCTTGGTCATGGCCAGTCTTGTTTTAAGTTACTTATTCTTGCTTCCTTCTCTACACTGTGCTATATATGTCCAAAACTAAGAAAACTTAAATACTCTATCATTATCACCTCCAATTACCAATAATTCCCATTCACCATCGAATATTGGTGTTTGAATTTCCAACCATTCCATTATTTCATAATTTTTTAAATTCAGGATCATATGAGGTTCACATATTATAATTGGCTGGTATGTCTCTTATGTGTCTTTGTCTTCCATAATTTAAAAAATTATGGTTAAAAAATATATATATATATATATATATCATAAAATGCACCATCCTGACCATGTGTAGTTCAGCCCATCCCGTGTTATGCAGCAAATACCCTGTCTTCCAGCTGAAACCATCGCCATTAATCACCGACTCCCTCCTCCCCTAGAACTCGGTACCCACCGTTCTTCTGTCTCTGTGTTCAGCTGCTCCCTCGGGTTCCTCTTTGTGTCCTCCCTTATCTCTCTCCCTCTCTCCTTCCCTCTCCCTGTCCTCCCTCTCCCCTCTCCCCTCCCCACCTCTCCCCCAATCAGCTTGTTTGCTGAAGACACCAGGTCATTTGCCTCACAACTTTTACCCCCTGAACCTTGCTGCCGAGCCTCTGGTGCCATTGGACATGCTCCTTCCTATATTTCCTTAGGTTGGCACTTGGAACTGTAGGCTGAATTCAGGTTTAACTTTGCTGATGACACAGCCCCATCCTTATGGTGGTGTTGTATGCGAGGAGAGGGTAAGGTCTGCTGTCCCTCTTTGTGATATTAGCAGCCCTTTATCATCACTTCCCAGGTTCATAGTACACCTGTTTCTCTAAGTGGCCAGGTGTGGAGTTGCCAAGCTCTGGCACGTGGAACTTTTTTGAGGTCCACCATCTTGTTAAGTAGACGCACCTTCGTGTGATCCTCCGGCTGTGCAAGATCTCCGCCAGCGCTCTTACACCCACCAGCGCTTGAGGGCGCGAGCATCTCGGCTGTATTTCATGGCCACAGGGAATTTGGCCACCCTTTGGTTTGCTGCTGCCTGTTTTGGTTTCCACTCTTGTGACTGGTTTTTCAACGCTTTGCCCATTTTTCTCTTGGATTATTTGTTTCCTCCCTGACTCTTTGTGGATCTTTTCATTTATTTTTCATTTGCGTGTGTTGTAAATATCCCCTCTCGGCCTTTGGCTTGATTACTCACTTTTAATCATGGTGAAAATTTCCAATATGCATTAAATCAAGGAGACTCATCTGAGGAAATCACATCCCCTTCAGGCAGCTTCTGCACTATCAACTCGGGGTCATTCTTCCTCGGTACACCACTTGGCCCCTTCCCAGCTCGGGTTAGTTAGATGGAGTGATGCCACCGTTCCACAGGTCCGCTGAGGTTCTGAGAGGCCCCAGTCTTTGAGAAGTGTGCACATAGCTGGGTTGAAACTCGGATCTGAAGTCTATCTTCTCGCTCCATGCTGTACCTACTCCAGGGAATTTGGGGAGCAGGGGTAATTAGGGTCCGTGCAATAGTCTGTGTCCTTCTGAGCAAGTCCTGAGGGTTTCTCTACAGTGGCTTCTCCACATTAAAGACTTGGGCAGTGTCCACTGTGGCTCCACCTGTCCATGTATCTGCAGCCCTAAGAAAGCACAGTGGAGTTGCGGGGTTCAGGAGTCCTGGTGCTGACCTCTTTTCCCCATTGTGAGTGGGGCAGACTTGAGCAGGCAAGGCTTCTTGTCTCCACCCAACTTCAAGTGTTCCCGCCTCCTCCAAGGCCGGCCTTGTGGGAGAGGGCCCCTGAGGGCAGACAGGAATTGAGCAGTGACTCTGTTTCTTAGAGTAGACCCACTCTGGACTCTGTGGTGTCCTTTATGCTGAAAGAATGGTAGATGACTACTGTCACCATGGAACTTGGTGCAGTCACCTAGCCAATATGAATGGCGAACTGCTGATATTAATTGCTGATGTTTACTGGGTAACTACTGTCTGCCAAAAATTTGATTACATACTTTTAAGCATCTGTGCTTTATTTAACCCTCATCCACCCTACAAGTAATTATTTATGATCCCCATTTTGCAGAAGAGGAAACTGAGGCTTAGCAATGAGGTGACTCGCCCAGCATCCCACTGTGAGAAGTGGCACATCTGGGTCTGACTTAAGATTCGATTTTATTTTTTTAACAGTTGAAGTTTCAAAATCTTGGACTCTTGACAATTCTTATTTTACACATGCTAAAAAAAAGTCAAGTAGTTAAAAAAGGTTTTCAGTGAAAAATAAATCTCCTCTTCATTGTGGCCCCTGGGTTTTCTACCCAGAGGCAAGAAGTGTTAGGAGCCCTGGATTTATCTTTGCAGAGGTGAGCGGTGCCTGAGTCAGTCTCTGGCATGCACCTCCGCATCTTAATTACCAGTAGCCTGCTGAATTCATTGTTCTCTGTTACTTTTTCCTCATTTAACAAGCACTTCAGAGATCTGTGTCTCACTTTTTATGCAGATCTGTCATTCTTTTTAAGAACTGCACTGGTTTCCTTGAGCAGGCCTGACCCGCCCTCTGCTGAGGGGTTCACAGGGTTTGTCCTGCTGGCTTCCAGCAGAGTCTGGCTCGAACCCCCATGGAGTGCTGCATTCAGGCTGGAAGGTTCTGGGTGGACTCGAAGGCCCAGGTTTCTTGTCTTGCAGGGTCTTGGCTTTGGGAAGGGCTGCCACCACCTTCCAGTTCCCTCTGCCTGCAGCAGGACAGTTCTTTCCAGGGGCCAGCTTTCTTTAGGAGGCCACAATTGAGCGGGTTCCAACAGCGTGTCAGGCATTGTCCTCTTATAAATGTGACACTCCAAAGGGCTCGGCCCCACCGATGTCTCCTTGTGTGCCCCTTGTGGTGCTGGGCCTCCTGTCCTCCTGGCTTTCACGCTCCATCTCCCTATTGCTGAAATGCCGCTCTGGGCCTAGTGACCTTCCCACCATCTCCTCGTGCTTCCTCAGGATCCCTCCCGATGCCCTGGCAAGGTTAGCTCCACTCTCAGCGTGTTGACGGGGACTCTCCCTTCCCATCATGATGACTTTCCGTTGCTCCATCGCAGACCACTCTGCGCTTCTTTCTGCTTCCTTTGAATCCCAGTTGGTCCTCAGGGTAGGTGCTCAGCTGTGGGTCACCTCGTGGAGTGGACGGTCAGATGGCGTCCAAGTCTCCCTGGGCCCCTGAGACTGCAGGCCCATCTTCTCCCTCCACTTGTGCTCCCCAGCTTCAGCCTGAACCCCTTGAGGTCCAGGACGGCCACTCACATAGAGGTGGCTCTATTTGTCACCATTTTTCCTGTAGGCAAGCTGTGATGGCAAGAAGCAGGAAAGAGTGCAACGGTCATAAGAACCTGAAGGCTGTTGGGAAGAGCTGGTCATCTCTATGGCACCACAGGGACAGCCTTGACTTGTCATTATTGCTTCGGGGCTACCTTGGTCATTTCCCCAGAATCAAGAGCCGGGGCAGAAGGAAGGAGGCCTTTTGCAGTCCAACATGATCTCCGGAGGCGTCTCTTCCTCTACACTGTCAGAGGCGTGTCCTTGGGAATCTCAGGCTCTGCTCCCTTCTTTTCCAGTTGGCCTGGCTCTCTGGGGGGCGGGTGAGACCTCCCCTAGGCATCTGAGTACCCCAGGGACTCAAGGATCAAGCCAATGTGCTTATGTGGAACCTCAATTTCCTCTTTTGACAAGTGGGCATGAACATGGCACCAACCGTTTACGAGGGTCCCTAGGACACTGCCAGTGAATCAGGTACCAGACACATGACGAGGGCCCATCCCATTTTCATCTCTGAACTCCTGTGTCTGGTACTATGCTTGGCAAGTAGTAGGTGTTCAATAAATGTTTCACGATAACTTCATTTTCATAGAGCAGAGGATCACTGCAGAGATCCAATGATAATTAAGCAAAAGACAGGAGCAGGGACACAGTTTCTGCTCTAAATGTCATACTCTAAGCTCAGTTACTTATTTTAAGGAGAAGGAATTTGGGATTAAGGGTTGAATTTTTTTCCTTTTCTTTTTTTGAATATAGGTATTTTTAGGACTCTCATTATTTTTTTTCTCTGG